ACTCACTGGCTCAAGCCCCAGTCTGATCTCCTGCCCTCCCAGAGGCCAGCAACAGGGGCTCTCAGGCCCCAGTCCACAAAGAGCAGTGCCAGAGCGTGCCGCTCCTCACGCCTGAACTGGAACGGCAGCCTCCAGTGGAAACCTGGCCAGTCTCCATGACAACGGCTGAGCCTTGGCCTGGAACCAGCCGGGTCTCCTGAGACTGACCACCCGGCGGGGCTGTCGCAGCCTGAAGTGGGGGGCTCTCAACACCTCACACACACACACACAGCCCCCCCTGCCCAGTGTTCAAGCAGTCCCCTTCCTGGGTGCCTCTGTAGAAGGAGTGGGGTTTGCAGAAAGCTGTGGGGTGGGTCCAAGAAGCCCTGCCTCCAGCTGCCCCGCCTCCATATATACTTCCCCAGGCCTTTCCCCCAGGGGCCCAGAAGAGCAGACTCGGGATACTGATTCGGGACTCTGCCCTCTCCGCGGAGAGCAGGCTCATAGAACCTCGGGAACTCCCCCTACACACACCCACACCCACACCCACACCCACACAGACACACACACACACTCTCTCTCTTCCCACCGCCCTCCAGTTTTTCCCCGCGGGACGCACCAGGGACTCATCTCCGGTTGTGATGGGAACTGCAAGCCCTCGGGGTCACTGCTCCTGGAGTCCCGGTGCCGCCGCCCTCCCGACACTCCCAGGGCACCAGCTGGGGTATTTCGCCCCAGATACGAGTCCTCAGGAAGCCGCAAGGTCGCCCGGTACCGACTCCTACTTAGGCAGCGCCGCCTCCCGGAAGCCAACCGGGAGTCCAAGCGCAGCTCCGCGCCCCCCGCGTCAGCCCTGACTCGCCCTCCCGGGACCTGAGCTCCTGTTAGCGTAGCGGCTCTAAGGAAGGACGGTGGCCGCTGGCCAGATGCTGGGGGTCCTGCCCCCTCCTCCCCGCCGCCCACCCCCCGGGTCCCCGCGGCGCACTCACGCTCTGGTCGTCGTCCTCGCTCCGCATGTGGTCCGCAATGAAGCGCACGCCGTCCGCCGCCTCCCGAAGGCCGCAGCCGCACGGCCCCCCGGCGCCGGCCC